CGCAGGGGCCGGCGGGACGGCGGCAGGGTCCTGGCTGCCGTGTCCCTGGCAGCCTCCAGGCCAGCCCGCCTGTCTTCCCACGGGAGCGCCCGGGCCCTCCGGCAGCCCCCTTTGGCTGGAGAGCTTTCTGCGGCTTACACCCTAAGATGCCCAGTGATGGGTGTGACCGGATGCCGGCCTGCAGGTCATGTGTTTGTCCACTCTGGGAGCAAAGCACCACAGCTCCCGCTGGGCGCACCAACTGCCGGTCTAGCCGGTGAGCGCCATCGGGGGCCGCGCCTGGACGGGGTCTTTCGGCACGGTGGTGACTACCAGCTGTCAGTTGGCAGATGCAAGGCCATTACTGGCCCTTCTCTACAGATGACTTAAAATTCACTTACACATGGAAGGAGCGTTAGCAGGCCTGTGGCTTTAGCACCTGGTGCCTCATAGCTGGTTCCTGCCCCCGTGGGTGACTGGCCCTTTGGGAAGGCTGCTCATAAGCCCCGATGGGGCCCCGGACCTGGAGTCTCCATTTTTCCTCCTTCAGCCAGTGGACCCAGTCACCCAAAATCACGGACCTCCGAGGCCGGAGAGCGCCGTGCTCAGGCCAGCCAGCAGCTTCTCTGTGCTCCGTGCTCCCTCTAGTGGAACCATCAGAAGAGCATGTGGCCAGAGCCTCGTCTTGCTCAGTGTATTTCAAACAGTCCACAGCAGGAGAAGCCCCCCCAGCCTGAATGCTTCGTTCTGCCAGCGCAGTGCTGAATGCCTCACACGTGCCCTCCCACCACGCTGCTGCCAGGTCCTCAGTTTACAGAGGAGGAGCCTGAGGGTCAGGGAGGCTGGGTAAGCTGCTCAGGCCCCAGGCTGGGAGGTGGAGGAGGTGACCTCATGACCCGCTTTTTCTGCCTCAGAGCTGGGCCCTCCCCACCAGCCTGTGCACCCCGCCCTGCACCCTTGAACTTGCAAGGTGAACTACCACTCGGGTGTGGTTGGGGGGCCGGCTCCCCAAAGGAGGGTGGCCGGCATGAAGGAAGGGGCGCTTTGCCATCTGCTGGTCTGCTCACTACTTGGCAGGTGGGGAATGAGGGGTGGGTGGGGGTCCCGGCTTGTCAGCTCCCTGGAGTCGGGCCCTACACATGAGCAGGGCAGATACACTGGCCTCTTCTGTGGACGGCAAGGGGGGTAGGACTTGGAAACAGCCCTGGTTTGAAGGTTGGTTGAGGGCGTCCTCTTCCCATTAACGGGACATTCACCTATCTCAGGGGCAATGGTGAGACAGGCCCCATTTAAACCGAGCCCAGTTAGCATGGGCGGTAATTTAGATTTGGTTCTGGGGACCTAGGGTGTCCCCTCAGGAATGTGCCCTCTGGTCCACCGGTGCCCCAGGGCAGGGGCAGGAGGGTGTCCCCTGTGAGGTGGCTGTGCTCTGCTGGCCCTCTACCCGGGGTCTGGCTGCTGTCCCTCCTGGGCCCCCACCCTGTGAAGCCCTCTGCCAGCCTGTCCTCCTGGGAGACAGCAGCCGCCGCCCGCCACCTGTCCCTCATCATCGCTGCTGGCGTGAAGCTCAGAGCGCGCATATCTGTCGCCCGCTGGACAAGCTGCTGGAATCTTCCAAGCTGACGGAAGTGTCCTTGGCCTGCTGGGTATGTTTTCCTTCTCATTCCTGGCACCCACCTGTCGGCATGACCCAGCCTGAGGATCATATTTTATGAGAAATTACTTGTGCACTGGGCACCCTCTGCCCGCACGTCCCTCTTGCGCATGGGGAGTTGCCTTTCCATCTATCCTGGGCTTTTTAAAAATTCCAGGAGCGTCTGTTTCTCCTTTTCTTACTGCAAATGGTTTTTCAGTGCATTCTGTGTTCAGGGGCTGTTTTCATTTCCTCTGCTCCCGCTCTCTGATGGGGGTGAACAGAGACGACAGGAAACCTGAAGAGATGCGTAGAGGCTGCAAAGCAGAGCCATGGGAAGGGAGGCATGTGACTCTGAGCAGGAGAAAGAGGAAACTGGGTTTTGGGGAAAAATGACAAGTAAAGTGAAACCAGATTGGCCGGTGTGGCCAGGAGCCATGGGGGATTCACCCGACCAGTCTCCACGGCCAGAGAGACACCCAGACCATTCTTTCAGTCTGAGGCAGGGCAGGTGAGTCCCTTTGAAGCAGATTGAGGTGGTGGAGAAGCCAAACAGCGGGGTTGGGGCCCGGTCACCGCAGACGCCGGGCTGCAGAAGAACATAAAGCCCTGGACTTTGAGAGCTGCCCTGGAGTCAGAGCGACTTTGAGAGTCAGGGGCGGGGGGCAGGTCAGCTCGGAGTCCACAGCAGAGGACGTCAGGCCCTGGCAGAGAGCGCCCAGCGGCCTCTCAGCACTGAGCGGCCCCACTTCTGGGAACACCGCCTCATGACCCTCTCCACTGGGACCTCACCCTGCTGCAAGCGGGCACACCCTTGGTCACGGGGACTGGCTCACCCTGGCGGTGAGCACTCGGGCGCTGCCTCTCTCCCCACCGGGGACCCTGGCCTGGGGCAGACCCACAGGACAAGAGCTGGGAGAGGGAGGGTCCACATTCCGCCTGCCAGCCCAGCCACACCCTTGACTTCTCGGGGTCCAAGCCAACACATGTCCCTCTGCTTTGAGAAGTCAGTTGAGGTTGAGTTTCTGCCACACGCAACTCAAAAGAAGTCTGAACAAGAGTGAACGCCTCACATGGACAGCCAAAACGAGATCTGAGGCGGCAGGGGCAGGAGGGCAGAGGGCGCGTGCCGGCACGTGGGCCCTGGGAGCTGTGTGCAGCGCTGCCCAGACTATGCCCGGAGACTCTGTGGTGGGAGCTTGAAATCAGCGGAGCGGGAGCATTTGCAGGAGGGAAAGTGGTAAACTCTGCCCACCCCAGATTCCTGTCCCCCCCAAGCCCCCAAAGGCTGGTTGCTGAACACCGACCAGCCCTCCTCTTGACAGATACTTGGAAGGGCCAGACTCACACCGGCCCGGCTTCCCGGAGGCCGGTGAGGAGCCTCGGAGCACCACGCTCTGCCCGCCAGTGCCCGAGGGCCAAGTGAGGTCATGGCCCTGCTCTGGCTGCCTGGGCCACGCAGACGGGTGGCAGCTGCCCTGCAAACCAGGAAAGGGCCAGGGGGCCCCTCTCAGCCGCACCAGCCAGCGCTTCTCTCCCAGGTGACTCTAACCGTCTGCCTGTCTTAGGGCCTTTGGAAACAAGTGGCAGGAACTTAAACCGACTAATGTGACAAGAATTTATCGGTCCAGGGGCCCGTTCGGCTCCTGGCTCAGCCACATTTAGAGGCTCCGACAACGGCTCAGGGCCTCGGCTTTACTCACTCTGGGCTCTGCTCCCCCAGAGGACAGGCAGGTCCGGGCTCGCCACTGACCCAGCACACTGCAGGAAGAAAGATTCTCTTTCAACATTTCCAAGAAAAACTCGTTGGCGCTCCCAGGTCTGGCTTGCATCCCACGCCCACCCTAGATCCATCACGAGGCCAGAGAACAGGCTGCTCAGACTGGCTGCTCCCACTCCTATGATTCAAGCTTTGGGTAGAAATTCAAGAGGCTGAAATTCTTGACCAGAGGGAGGCCTTGACTTGTGATTCTGGGGATAATTACCGTCTGCGATCATCTGGTTTCCCAGCCTGAAACTGACCCTGAACCCCAGAGGTTACAGGAACACCCAGATGCTAAGGCGCACAGCCACGAGAGCCCCGGAAAACAGCTTCTCCCTGCGCCCCAGCTCAGGAGGGCCTGGCCCTGGGCATCCCAGGCCGACCTCATGGCCCGCCGGCCCTCCCACTGGGGTGTATGTGCTGGACACGGGCCAGGCTGGGCTTGAGCCGGGAACTCTGCCTGGACCCTGAGCGGCTGCTGGCTATTCTGGGGATGGAGCGTGCGCTCAGTCACAGCCACCCGTGGGCAGATGCTCTCCTCCCTTGCGCTGGGGTCAGCGCCTGTCCTGTTGGAGGCAGGCTTTTTTCCATAGTGGGCTCGTGCTCCTAAATCCCATTCCCATTTGGAGGGCAGAGCTCTGGCCGCGAGGGCTCTGTGACCTACGGCCATGCATCCCTCTGAGCCTTGTTGTTCTCATCTGTCAAATGGGGAATAAACTTGTCTCATGCAATTATTACAAGTACTCAAGTTTGTACAAGCAAAACCCTTGGCATGGAGAAGGGGCCAGTAAATGGCTGAGAGTCCACAGGAAATGGGGTTGATCCATCTCCCACCCCGTGAGCTTCAGCTTCTCCCGATGTGGACTGAGATGCTGGTACTCTCCATGGTGGTGCCTGTTTGGGGCTGTGCTGTCATGCATCTGATGGTGGTTTTTACAGAGGGTATTGGCCTGTCTGTCCAGCATGCCCTTTCTCTTCCAGACTTAGCACCACCATGTCCCCTGGGACCAGTTCTCCCTGGCACGTGATTGGGGTGAGGGTGCTCCCCTGGCGCGGGGCTGCGCCAGTGCCAAGCTCAGCCCCAGACCCTTCCCTCGGGAATCAGAATCACTTGGCCAGATGTAACCTAACGGGACACACCAAGTCCACAGTAACCTTCAAAGGTTTATAAGTCCACAATGTAGATACCAGCAAGGCGCATAACTATACACAAAACTGACATGGAAGGAGGATGAATTGTATAGAAACCTTCTATGCTCGTATCTGTTTTTCTGTTTATTAGTATATTCCCATGGCTACTAACCAAGAAATTAAATGTTTAGCGACTATTATGCATTATGCCATCATTTAAAGTTGCTGCATAAAAATTTTAGAAGTAACGCAAACCACATTAAACCTGAATATCTAATTTCAGCTGCACCTTGGGAATTGAACTTGGAACAGCCCACCAAGGGCAGAGGAAAAGTTGGCACCTGAAGAAGTCAGTGCACAGATCCCACGGCTGACCCCTGGGCTGGGCTGTTCCCTGCGCGGTGCCCACCCGGCCGTCCAACGTCCCCGTCCCTCTCGGGCCTCTTTGCATCCTCCCAAGAAGCCCTTCTTGGCTTATGTGGGCTGCAGCTGGGGTTCCTGCCCTGTGCATTCGGTGAGCCCTGCATCAGAAGTGCCCCCGAGGGGACCTGGGGAGACTGGCCAGGAGCCACCGTGAGCAGGGGCCCCGAGCATCTTCTCATTGGGTAAGGAGAGGAGCCTGTGGAGGAAGGCACAGTGCAAGAGCCCTTCACGGGGCTTGGCGCCCGGAGAAGGGGCCCACCTGCGGCAGCCCTCAGGCAAGGACAGGCCTCACTGGGCCTCCCTGGTCTCCAGGCCCTCCCAGGCTCCAGAAGACCGGCCCGTGGCTCAGGGTGTCAGGGCGGGCACCCTGCCGCTCAGAGGTCCCCGTGTCGAGGGCAGAGCACTTCCAGGATAGCACGGCCTCTTGTGGAAAGGCAGGGCCTCGGGCTGCACAGACCTCCCTGGTGAAGGGCAGCGTGAGGCCCCACGGACGCGCTGGGCTGCTAACGAAGGTGGACGGCGCCTGTGCTAGTGCGTGCGCACACTCACCCGAGTGCCCTGCTGTTGGTAACGCAGACAAGCAGGCTCCAGGTCAGTGGGCAGAGCAAGTGGCTGCAGCTTGGGCTGGAGTCTATCTGCTGCCCCAGCCTTGGAGGGGCTGCCCTCCCTTCCTCTCCTGCCAGGGGAGGCTCATCTGTCCCTTTACCTCTTTGTTCATTGTTCGCCCATTGGCTTACTGGGCACCTGTGATGCCTGGTACCAAGCTGTGCCCTGCCCATGTGAGCTGCATCCTTGCCAGAGCAGTGGGTAAGGGAGCAGGATAACGGCGTGTGCAGGTGACGCGCTGGGGGCTGGCCTGGGAAGGGATGCGGCTGGGGGCTGTGTCGGGGTCCCAGGCTCCTTGGTTCGCTAGGAGGACACATTGCAAGCCGGTCATCATAAGCCATATGCAGGGCTAAGACATACTGCTGCGAAAGGGCACAAGCAGAGTCAACACAGGGAACGGCCGCAGCCAGCAACGTCTGGGGTAAGCCAGCCACCAGCGTCCCACGGCCTCTCCAGAGAAGCTACTCGGGGCCCGCGGATTTCCAGCCATGGGCTGTGATGGCCCGTGTGATGTGCTGTCTACCCTGGAAGCTTTGGTGCCCAAAGTTTTCCCTGGGGGCTGTCAGGTGGGTGCCTCCACCCATCATGTACAGAAGTCCCAGCCCAGGAGGAAGCAGGTGTGCGGCTGGAATCTAGCAGCTCGCCCCGAGAAGCGGCGTACGAAGGAGATTGCCTGAGCCCGAGGCAGCGTCCATGCACATTGCTGATGGGTCCCGGTCAGGGTCTGATGAGATGGCTCACCGACAGCCCTCGGCACAGTGCTAGGACGCAACCGGGCTCTGGCGGCTCCTGGATTGGCTCACAGGCCCCTGCCCGCCGCCTGCAGCCCTGCACCTCCGTCAGCCCAGCCTCCCACCTGGCCCCCCAGCCGCTTCCTCACAGCCACTGGGCATCCATTCAGAGCTGGGTCACTGTCCTGTCGGCTGGTGGCCTGTCTCACTCTGGTGAGAATCTGCACAGTTCCCAGGCTGGGGACACCCTCCCATCATTGGCCCATTCCCTTCCTCTGTCCTCAGGGCCTCACCTCCGCCCAGCTCCCCATCCCCTGGCTGGTTTTCTCCTCTGATGTGTGATATATATAGGCTCTCATTAGTTCCTCCTCCCCTCCTCACCAGCCCCTTCCTCACCAGCCCTGGGATGTAACCCACGAGGAAGGGAATTGACTTTGCAGCAGCCCTGCCCTCTGGGCCTGTCGCCAGCCTTCTGCGCTCTTCCCGTCCTGCCCCTCAGCGCCGCGGCGTCTCTGTCCCTTGTCCCCAAGCACCTTCCCTGAGCAAAGCCCCTGCCCCCTTCTCTGTGACCCCTGACCCCACTCTCAGGATGTGCCAGGGGCAGGGAAGGGCCTCAGGCCCACTCAGGCTCACCTGCTTGCACGTCGGAGTCGTCACAGTCCACCTGGACGAGGTAGCCAGTGTTCCAGATGGCGAGGCAGCCCACGGCGTGGTAGGAGACCCTGAGGGGCCTCAGCCGGGGGTCGTAGACGCTGTCCCTGCCGCAGATGTTAATGGGGGACTGCCGGAAGCCCCCCGGCACGAGGGCTGGCCCCTTCCAGAGCGGGTGCGCTGGGGGCAGAGAGGGAGAGGAGAGCCTCACTGGGACATCAGAGTCACTCGAGCCCCGGCGGGGGGCGGCAGGACCCCTGCAGCAAGGTGCCAGGGCCCGTGCGGAGCCTGGGCCCTGGGCCGTCGGTGTGCCTGCCCCCCACCCTGCATGGGCCATGAGCTCCCTGCTCATCTCATGGAGCTGCTGCCTGGCACCATGCTGACTTGGTTGACTCTGTGGTCACTGTCACGGTGTGGCCACAGGAAGTGCTCTGTGGCTCCGGGGTCACGGCAGGAAGGCGGAGGTGAGTGGCCTGGTGTCTGGGGGACAGCGTGGCCAGGGACGAGGGTGGCTGTAAGAAGGGATGCCGGTGGGGCATTGGGCACGCTCCTTGGCACATCACTGCACCGGATGGCACTGGGGACACTCACCTGTCCTTCAGCTTCCCTGACAAGGCTGAGACGGGGCTATCACAGTAGCAAGAGAATTAAGCAGGGGTTCCCTGTCCCCTCTCTCTAGGCTCCTGCTGTTGGGGGCGGGTGCCCAGGCCTGGCAGGCTTCTCAAGAGCAGGGCCCTGACGAGGACCGGAGTCCTTCTGCCAGTGGCCGCCCAAAGCCTGCCGTCCCGCCGTCGGAGCCCTGAGTCTGGCTTCCCCGTTCAAGCGGGCATGGTGCTAACGTGAGTCCCGTAGCTACAGAATCGGAAAACTAAGGTGCCCTTGTCTTAGAGTGATCTTGGGGTGGGCGATGCGAGCCGGTGACACAGTCTGGGCAGGTGGCCTGACCCTAGGCGGGGGCAGGGGTGCGACGGGGCGAGCAGGGGGGCACTGGACTGGGTGGCACCAGACCGGGCAGGGCAGGCCCTCTACTGCAAGGTCTTCAGGTTTTTCAAGAGAAGATACAAACACGGATTTTCATAAGATGTTTAGGTGCTGGCAAGTAATTTTGTTTTAAAGGTTTCAACGTTATGCAAGGAAAGACACACTGGTGGACGAGGTGACCAGCTGCCCACTCGCTGTCCGAGGTGTCAGGCAGGCTTCTGCGTCTCCCCGCCCCCAGCCTCAGTTCCTCCTCTGTGGCGAGGAGAGCGATGGCATGTAGCCGCAGCGGGTCCCTGAGGTGGGTGAGCAGCCCGCAGCGTGGTCAGCTAGCTCTCAGCTCCCTCTGCAGCCGGGCAGACATGCCCCGCGGCAGCGCCTGAAGGACAGGCCCTGGTCCGTAGAGCTGTGCCAGTGCCCTGGGGCCTCCACTGTCTGCTTTTCCCGGAAAGCCACCCTGAACCTGCACAAATCCCGGAAGCAACCGACAGCGAACAGCGCAGGCCTTCCAAGCCGCCCTTGCATCCATCCTCCCTATGGGAAGCGGGATGTTGCATCCCGCACGCCCCATGGTGCACACGGCACGGGGGCAGCAGATGGCGTGGGGGTGGCCCTCACCTAGCCCAGGGGCAGAACTCGGGCCCTGACACAAAGACTCAAGCCTCGGAAGAGTGGGCACTCTCAGGTCACGAAGGGCCGCCGACAGCCATGCATCTGCGCTGAACTCAGTCTCTGCCACCAAGGCAAAGGCTGCTGCTCAGTGTGCACGCAGAGGTGAGGTTGCTGAGTCCCTCGCTGGCCCCAGGGCCTGCTCACGGTGCTGCCAAGCTGGGGTGCTCGCCGCAGGTGCTGTCTCAGTGAAAGCAGGTCTCCGACAGGGAGTGACACAAGTAAGGTATTATCCTTTTTCAGTCATTCAAAGAGTATTTACAAGGCTCCTCCTATGGGTCGAGCGTCGGCCCCAGTGCAGGGATGGATGAGGGACTGCTGAAGAGTCCAGACCCGCCCCACACTTGCAGCGCAGCCCAGCCCGGGTGGGCCAGAAAGAGGGGTTGTGCACGCACATGCAAGAAACACCTGCTGACATTTCTGAGAACATGCAGGGGAGTGCTGGCAAGAGTTTGGTAACCGGCTCTGCCGGGGGACGAGGGGCTGTGCTGTGTGGTAAGTCACACCCCTTACCAGGGTGTCAACATTCCCACCTTAGGCTGCTGCCAGTGTAGACGCTGCTGATCGTGGACATCTGGTGAAACGCGGCTGCCGCACGCACTTAGACACAGCTGGACAACACTTAACTGACGTGGTCCCTAAGATGATTTCTGAACATCACTCTTTGTCTTTTCTCTCTAGGCCAAAGCCCCTGTGATTTTCAGTCATACAGCAGCCTCCTCGCCCCGCACCGCTGCCCAGAGCAGACGGCCTCCCTCCTGCCCTGCCGTCAGGTTCACAGGAGCCTCACGCCGAGTCCGGTGCCCACGCCACTTCCCTTGGCACGTTGCATGGGCGTTTTAGCAGTTCACGTCGTCACAAGGGTGAGTGCGGCCCAGGATGGTTGAGAGAGGGGCCACTCGCACGTCACTGTCGGGGCGCTGCTCACACGTCGCGGGCACTCCGGCGCGCTGGTGCCGTCCTGCTCCGTTATCGTCGTCCGTCTCTTTCTGTGTCTAGTTCGTGAATTAAACTGTCACTCGTGGGCGTGTGCTGATAGGGACACAGTGGTTCCAGCGTCCGCTGGGGGCCTTGGAAGGCGTCCCCCGCGGGTTCCGGGGGGGCCACTGCACTTAGTGACAAATTTGCTGCTCTTCCCAGATGAAATGCTCAGCCGAACAGCAAGAAACAAAGCCTGCCCCCAGGGCAATGGGCTCCCAGGGAAGCACAAGCCGTCCTGCTCGGCAGAACATGCTCTTTAATGGCGGAACTCGGAAGTGACTCTGCAGGGCCCTGGGGTTCCCCCAGGAGCAGTTGAGGGCCACTGTAGGACCTGACTTAGGCACATGACACAAAAGCTTACTGTCCATCACATGCGTGTGAGAATATGGTTTGTAATTGCTAAAAATTGGATACCACCTAATGTCTCCCAACAGGGTGAGGGCTAAATACAGGGATGTCCACGCGATGGCTGGTGGTGACAATAATCCACGCTTGGGCAGGGCTCTCAGGGGGCCAGGTGCTGTTCTAAGCCTTCCCAGGCCTCACCTCATTCCCTGCTTCTAGCAGCGCTGTGTGATAAGCATGGTTATTACCCTATAAGGTGATGAAGTTGGGCTCAGAGAGGCTAAGGACCCTGCCGAGCGGCACACAGCCACAGGCAGTGGGCCAGGCTCCACCACGCCAAGTATATGGGTATAAAGCATAAAGGAGGGATGGGGACCAACAGGCCATCGTGAAGGTGTCTACATACAGTTAAGCCACGTACACCGAGGTCAACAAGCACACCGGGGTGCTTTTTGGTCTTGAAAGTCTTGCGGACATTGTAGACAGGTTTCTGTGTGCGTGGAGGCAAGCACCCAAACGGTGCTCTGGAAACTAGTCACAGCAGCTGTGTCTGGGGATGGAACTGGGGGCACAGGCGGAGGGTCTTTCTGTATGTGTGCTTCGCCTAGTGCTGGAGACTGGCAGGGAGGTCTGGGCGGGACCCGAGACTGCGTTTCAAGCAAGCTCCCAGGGGCTGCTGACCCCTCAGTGTGAGTCAGTCGCGTTCACTGAGAACCAGTGAATGCAAGCTCCCTACACACGTCATCGCACCTGATGAGGCCCTGTGCCACACCCCATTTCACAGACGAGGAAACTGAGGCTCGGGGAGGGCTCATGTGGCTCTCACGCTGGCAGGTGCCAGCAGCACACAGGCCCAGGAGCAACTGGCTGCAAACCCTTGCTCCTCAAGTGCCCGAGCCTGGGGAGTGTGTGACATTTAAGCTGGCAGTGGACTAACCAGCTGCCGCTGGAGGCCCTTCCTTCAACACTGTGAGCCTCTGAGACCCAGACTGCAAGAGGGACAGGTCCAAGGTCACAGGGCCTGAGGCTGATGTGGGGTCCCTGGAGAGAGCGGGGAGTGGAGATGGATCTGCAAGCTTCCTGGAAACGTGCTCTGTGGAGGGGCTGTGGGGCTCTAGGGGCCTGCTGGCAGGGCCCATGCCCTTAGGGATGGATGTCAGGCCATAGACGCTTGTCTTGGGGGCACCTGCTGCCTGTCCGGTTCTCGGCATCTTGCCCTCTGAAGGGCCCATGAAATGAGGTCAAAGCAGTTGCCCAAGGTCACTGTGGGAAGACACTGTGGAAATCTGAACCCAGATGGTCTGGTTTTGTGCTGTTCCCCATTTTGAAAGGCTCCATAAAATCAGACAAACATCAAATAACATCCAGGGAAATTGGAAGATCTACTTACAAGTGATATTCCCCCTTTTCTGTGCACAGGGACGCTGTGAGCATGGCCTCAGGGGGCGACCGCGCAGAGTCCCCCACGTCTCCTTGTCCAGGATGGAGAGACCTGGGGGCTTCCAATGGCTCCTGCCCAATGTCAGGGTCCTCAGCATCTTGGGGCTGTTCTCTGTGGGCCCCAATAAAAAAAGGGTGATTTTCCCCTATTGTCCGTTCTGTCTTCGGTCGGGACAGCCGTGGTGTGGGGTGGACGCACTCACCTGACCTCCGGAGCCTGGTTGTTAAATTTCAACCCACGGCTGCCCCAGCTTCCTGTATGACGCTCAGTTTGGCTTACAGGTTCGCTCCCTGGGACAAGGGGCCTTTACGGTGGCCAGGACCCTTGGGTCACTGTGCTTTGATCTGGTAAACAGACGAGTGAGTGAGCCAGGGAGTTAGGACAACTTCGTGAGAGCCGGCTGGCCAGAGGGACAGAATCGGCTAGAGCGAAGTCCCCGCTCTTGGGGAGTTGACCCCTAGTTCAGAGCTGTGTGGCTGTGGGCCTGGGCCAAGCACGAAGCCCTGCTGCGTGCGGACAGGGACCGGCTGGTTTGGAAGCACAGGGGTGGGAATCAGCTTAGGGGCTGGGCGTGGTTGGAGCAGGGGGGGCAGGTGGTCCTTGCCTGCCTCGGCTCCTGCAAAGGAAGCCAGTCCCCATTTGCCACAAAATAGGCGCGATCTGATGCAAATTCGTTTTGCCTGGAGTGAGACGGCTGGGCAGGACACTCCAGGTCATGGTTCTTGTCTCAGTGTAGATATTAATGGTGCAACTTTTATGCACAAAAGTGTCCGCATTTGGAGCAGTAAGTTACATGGTCACTGTGACCACACAACTTGTGATACTTGCAGGTGCCTGATAACAAAAATACCCTACTTTCCCTGGACACTTTTTACCTGTGAAATGGGGAGCACAGGGTTCATGTGGAATAATTCGTAACTTTTCTTGGGGGGTTTAAATTCTTAAGCCTCGAGGGGGCAGGGATGTCATGATTTACCATGAATCCCAGAACCTTAGATCTGGCAAACCCCACAGACCTGCACATCGGGTCTGCCTGGGGGCCCCCGAGAACCGCAGAGCCCAGCTGGCTGTGTGCACGGATTCACTCTCGGAATGGCCGTCTGAATCTCAGATGGGCTGTGAGCCTGGTCGCTTGTGAGCACCAAACGCCAACTCTGGAATATATATGCTTTTCTTCCCACTGAGTCATTTCAGAAAGCCGCATGCCTTTGGGCGGCTTGCTACCTTCACTAGCTCATTGTGCCTCAGTCTCCTCCTATGTAAAGTGGGGAAAGAATAGCGCTCAGTCTGTTGCTCTAAGGATTTAATGAATTGATATAAGCAAAGCTCCCAGAATGGTGCCACTTCCACCACAATGTGCCAGGCACCACATTATGAACCCTGGCCGAGTTCTGGATGGGTGCAGGCTTCCCGGCATTGGGGCACCCACTCCGCTCATCCTGCACCCCTCGGCTGACTCCTGTGCCATTGTAGTAAAGACTAACATCCTGCCATTAAAAAAAAAAAACAAACCAATATGGGCAGGAGTGTTATGGAAAAAATTTCAAGCAGTTCAAAGGTGAAAAGTAAAAATCTCCAACTTCTCCAGAGTGAACTGCTGATAGTTTCTTATGGCTTTTTCTGGAAACTTCTATGACATATTAGCCTATAAATGCATGGAGAGCATCACACACCCACACATATTTGTACGCACAGCCAATAATACTGTACTGAGCATCTTTGAAAAGAATTCCTAGGTTTGCATTTATTGGGCAAAGGATATACGCACCGAAGCATTGATTCTGCACCAAATGACTCTCCCGAGAGACGGTATCAAGTTCTACCCTCACTCACCTTATATTCTGAGCCAAAGAGCCGCATATTTATCCAGCCCAACACGTTCTAATTTCTTAGTACCTCCTTTGCACATAAAACACCAGCCGGGGTGTGTCCTTTGATCTGTAATTATCTGCTGGAATTGAAAATTTCTCATGTGAAAAGGTGAGGGGTAATTTTGTGTCACTTTGGCTGAACTACGGTGCCCAGATATTTGGTTGAACACTATTCTGGATGTTTTGCTGTAGATGTTTTTTGGAAGCAGTTTCCACTTACATTGGTGGACTTTTGATAAAGCCGATGACCCGCCTAACATGGGTGGGCCTCATCCAATCAGCTGAAGGCGTGACTAGCACAGGACTGACCTCCCCGGAGCAGCAAGGGGCTCTGCCGGCGGTCTGCCCTTGGACTCTGCCGCTGCCCCCCGAGTCTCCACCCCAGCAGAGCTTGGATTTGCTGAGCCTTCCCGGTCACATGACCCAATTCCACAGTCCTTCGAAATGCAGAAAGAAAAGGTAGGAATTTCTATCGTTATTTCTTCTCTTTGCTGTTATAGCTTCTATTTTCCCTATGTTTCGCAGTGTCTAATACACAGATATAATTTACACATAAATACACCTAATTTACACGTAAATTGCTGGGGGGCACACTCAAAAGCTTTTTACAGAAATGAGTGTGTGACCAAAGAAACCTGGAGGCCACTGTTTTGTGAGTTCTGTCAGTGTCTCAGCATCTCTGTTTGAATAGGGCTTTATTCTGTTACATTAGGAATCCAAATTTATTCCTAAGTGCAACCAAATGTTCTCCAAAGTGCTTTAAGATCCCAAAATGATGCATACAGGGTCCAAAAGGTCTATTCTAGTGGAAAAATAAAAACAGGAAAAAATTCCCATTGGACAAAAATCTTGAAAACACTTTTAAAAATGTGGAAGTTTCTACATGAGTTTCGTTCACAGTCATTTCTTTTGCTTCTCTTTGTATCACCTGGCTTTTTTAATAGCACATTTTTGGCATGAACTTTTATTGAGTTTATGGATTTCTAAACCTGTTTCCCTGTCCTAACGAGCCGGAAGGGCTGCTTTGTACTGGAGAGTTTTTGTTTATACAGACGTTAAAACGGAGCAGTGCTGTTTGCTTATTACCCGCCTGGCTTAGTTGCGCCATGTCCCAAGTCAGATGACAACCGACGGGTCAAGGCTGCCCGCGCTCCCAAGAGAGACACGTTCCCTTCCTGCGCGTCGTGCTACAGGGACAGTTGCGCTTTTCTGGGCACCTGAGGGCTCCATGAGCAATTCCCTTTTCTCCACCTAGTGAGGTCTTCAGGAACAGGATCCTTTTGAAGGGTCCCAGGGAGCGCCTGCAGTGGGCGCCGTGTGATCTTGAAGAAGCGGCCTGTGTGGTCTTTGCCAAGGCCTTGTGCGAGCGCATCGTGACGTGGCGAGTCACGCGACCACACGCATCTTTCCCGGGTACACTGGTCTTCACCCACAGCTCCTGCAGGCACTGCAGTCTTACAGGTGAAACGGGTGTTTGTCACGGTAATGAGAGACTTTGCCTGAAGGTTGAATCGGCCCATGGCCAATGACTTAGTCCATCATGACTCTGCAACGAAGCCCTCCCAAAACCCTCTGAGAAGAGCTGCTCGCCCTCTGCTCTGGCCCCTCTGCTCGGCTGGATCCTGCTCCCAGGTTGGAGAGAGAGCTTCTGTGCTCGGGGAGCCGGAGCACCTCCAGCAGGGCCCCGAGCTCCCCGGGGGGAAGAGGCTCCTTTACTGGGACCCTGCCCTGTATCCCTCTTCACCTGGCTGTTCACTTGTATCCTTTATTAAACTGGCGACTGTAAGTGTTTTCCTGAGTTCTGTGAGCCACTCCAGCAAATTAAGCGGACCTAACTGGGAAGTCGGTCAGAAGCGCAGGTAACTGCCTGGGGCTTGTGCGACGGGCGTCTGGAGTAGGGGGTGGGGGGCAGTCTTGCAGGACAGGGCCTTTAACCTGGGGAGTCTGCTGCTATCTCTGGGAAGAGAGCATCAGAATTGAGTTGAGTTCTCCAACACCCTCCTCGGGTTTGAGAATTGCTTGGTGTAAGTGTGTGTGGGAAGAACCCCTCCCAGATATTCACATACATTAGGATTGGGTCTGGGAACCCGAAGGAAGCTATAGGACTGTTACTGCTGTGTGTAATATTGTTACTGTTCTACATAAGTAGGAAAAAAATACACCATTACATTTGGTGTCAGAGCTGTTACATTTAGTGTCAGAGATGTTACACACATCTAAGAGGTCCAGGCCAGAGTGTACCTCCCTATCTTCCTATAAAGTCCCCACAAATGTGACTTCTACCTCATTAACTCCAGAACGTGGATTGGATCACTTATATGAATTGATTGGCAAAGAGAAGGGCCCTCTCTGGTAGGGAAGCGACCTTCACTGGTAGACAGCTGCCTGCCAATTTCTAGCTATTTAATTTTTTAAAACCGTGGTTAATCAGCTAGATGTCAGTATTGAACATCACCTTCCTGTATTTGAACTTCCTGGGCAGCAAAATGAAAATAAATAAATCTGAAACAGTGTGGGGAAAATGGAAGTTCCTATGGTCAGGATCCTTACCTGACCCTAACTACTTGATGACGTAAGAGGTGTGCTAGGCTACTGCTTCCACACCCACAGGCAAGGAGCTATTAGTGACTGAGTCACCACATAAAGAGCTCTGCCCAGTGCTCTGGGCGGAGGCAGAGATGAAGGCGATTACAGACCTGCAGACCGCTGGGTGCAGTCTTATTGCTGGGAGAACAAAGCTGGGTATAACCCTTTCACCCCGAGAATGTTTCATTGTTTTTCCTCAGTCTCACCGATTCCTGAACTTGTCCAGGGCAGGCAAGACAAACAGCAAAAATAATTTATAATAATAAAAAAGAGAGATCAATTACTTGAGCGTAAGCACAGTTGTAACGCTAACTGGCTTCATTGCCCACCGTGACTTAGCAGTGGGGGAGCCAAGCAGTGTGCGAGGCTCGGGCAGGAAGCAGCTGGCCACCCCACACCTGAAAGGGGGTGATAGGTGAGGACTTTGTGGTACTTTGAAATTATATGAAAAATATGACCCTACATTATCTGCTTTCTAGTCATATATTCACGTACCCATGTTAAGAATTCTCACGTACTCAGGTGTTCAGATTTGGCTGTGACTGAGGCGGAGGGGACAGGAGGCACCACTCCCTAGAATTTTTTTGCCCACACCTTCCCTCTCCCTGAAATGTTGTGGTTAGGTTCCCCCCTTTTCGACAAGGTGAGTGGATGTCTTGCCAATGGGTTTCAGCCCCGGGCAAGTTTGCTATGGACTCAATGTGACCAAAGAACATTGACAGCAGAACGCTTTGGGGTGAAAGGGTTATACCCAACTTTATTTCCATGGTGGCAGATTAATCACTAAAATCTCGTTCACTCAGAGCGAGTCTGCAGGCAGCAAGCCAGTCTCTGCCTCTGGGCCCCTCTGTCCACACAGCCGTCCTCTGGGCCTCTGTCCTCGGCGCTGCCACCACTCCAGCCTCTGCTCTGCTCTCCTGCAGCCTTGCAGCCCTGCCACCGTGTCGCCCAGAGCAGTGGGCGGAGCTCTTTATATAGAGTCAACAGCCATGTATTGCCCACAGGTGTGCGGTGAGCTAGCCAACCAGGGCCAGGTGGGAATCCCGGCCACAGGGACTCTCATTTTATCCACAGGGACTCTGGGCCCTAGATCCAGGTATTTTGGATCCCCAGCCCCGCTTCTGTCTCTTTCCAGCTGCGTGGCCTTGCTCTTTCCTCCTCATCTCTAGGTAGGAGAGATCTCATTTCAGTATCAGTATCTTTTCTAGAGCTGACCTTCCGTGGTTCTCCTTACGAAGTTCTTTAAGGTACTTTTTTTGCAAAGGAGCTGGGTGACCAGCCTCAGTAGGACCCCCATGTGTTAATTCTGGAAGAGATTACCTTAACAAGGTTGCCCAAGGTCGAACACCAGGTAACTGCGCAGGTTTTTTTTTTAGGTATCATTGATATACAATCTTAAGAAGGTCTCGTATGAGCAACACTGTGGTCATTACATTCACCAGTATTATCAAGTCCCCCCACATACCCCATTGCAGTCACTGTCCACCAGTGTAGTAAGTTGCTATAGAGTCATTACCTGTCTTCTCCGTGCCATACCTCCTTCCCCGTGCACCCTCCCCTACATTATGTGTGTTAATCATAATGTCCCTTAATCCCCTTCTCCCTCCATCCCCCCCACCTTTGGTAACCACTAGTCCCTTCTTGGGTTCTGTGATTCTGCTGTTTTGTTCCTTCAGTTTTCCTTTGTTCTTATGCTCCACAGATGAGTGAAATCATTTGGTACTTGTCCTTCCCCACCTGGCTTATTTCACTGAGCATAATACCCTCTAGCTCCGTCCATGTTGTTGCAAATGATGGGATTTATTTTCTTCTTATGGCTGAGTAATATTCCATTGTGTATATGTACCACCTCTTCTTTATCCATTCATCTGCTGATGGACACTGAGGTTGCCTCCGTATCTTGGCTATTGTAAATAGTGCAGCGATAAACATAGGGGTGCATCTGTCTTTGAATCTGGGATCTTATCTTCTTTGGGTAAATTCCTAAGAGTGGAATTCCTGGGTCAAATGGCATTTCTATTTTTAGTTTTTTGGTGCCCAGGTTTTTATTATTGGCAAAAGGCAAGTGAGCAGGAAACTTACGGGAAAGCATGTTTTCTCCCATGAAAACAGTTTCATTGCTTTGTTTGGATGATCAAAGGGATCCTTGCTTGTTGTAAGCAACTCAGAAAACAGAGGCGAGTATCCAGATGGCAACCCCAGCACACAGGAAAAGCCGCGGTGATACCAGGAAGCTAGCGTAACACTCCTGGGAATAGTCTGTAGTTTGGGGATTTTCTCCTGCGAGAACCCACAAACGCGCATGTGGTCACACGAGCAGAATGCACCCACATTCACACCATGTTTCTGGGCCTACGTATACCGTTCACACAGTTCACACAGTCCACATGTCGGACATACAGGAACTATAGCCTCGCCGCTCCACACGCCGCGCACATCATACGCGATGCGCGCGAGCACCTGTACGGGGACAGCCGGCGGGGCCGGGGCGGCGAGCACAGCGGCTCCGCTCAACTACAAGCCCCAGCGGCCCACGCGGCGGGCGCGCGGGCGCCCGGAGTCCGCGGAGACTGCAAGTCCCGGCAGGCATAGCACGGGCGCTGAGACTACGAGTCCCAGAGTACACTGCTCCCGGCTCGCGCAGGACCCTCCGGGAAATGTAGTCGTCGGGAAAAGCTCATTCCTACTCATTCAGCCTCAAAGAGAGCTCAGACTGCGCCCACGGCCCACCGACGAGACTTCTCACGGGCGGGCGAGGGGAGAGAGCGCGCGACCGGAAGATGAAAATCCTGGAGGGCCCAAACTGTGGCACGGAAGGAGGACCTGTGCGCATGCTCGGCGGGCATCGGCGCAGGAGAAAGCGCGCGCGGGAGGCCCCGAGCGGCGGGCCCCGTCTTGTCGCCCCGCCCTTGCGCCCGGTGCGCCCCGCCCAGGGAGCGTGCGCAGACGTCGCAGGACGGAGGGCCGCGGGGAGCGACTCGCGGCGCCTGCGCAGAGCGGCGGCTTCTCTCGCGAGGACGGACGCCATTATCGCATCTCCCCGACAAACACCACGAGAATTCCGCAGCCCACACGGTAATTGCAGCTCCCGCAGCCGGTCGCGTCTCCACCTCCCCCTTCCCGCGGGGCGAGAGCGAGAGCGAGAGCGAGATCTCCCCTCCTGCCTCCTCCCTGCGCCCTCCTCCGGCCGCCAACGGCCCGCCGCCCTCGCGCCCCTCGGCGCGCCTGGGCCCCGGCCGCCCCTCCGCCGCCGCCCCCTCTGCGCCCCGGGGCCGCGCTCTCCCGCACCGGAAACGCCCTGCGAGCCGGCAGTCGCGGAGCCGAGGGGCCGGGGCCGCGGCGGGCCGGCGCCGTCCCGGCAGAGCCGTGGCCGGGCGCGAGGGAGGCAGCCCTGGGCGGCGGGGGGCGCTGCGAGGCCGACGGCGCCGGCCCCGGGGGCGTTGTCGCCGGGCGCCGGGGCCGCGGAGCCGGGGGCGGCCCGGCGACGGGACGGAGTCGGAGAGCGGAGCGGACCGCTTGGCGCCCGGCCCCAGGCAGCCCGCGGTGCCCGTAGGCCCTCTGTTCGGCTCGCAGGTGTTCCTTCGCGGTTGGGTCCAATTTTTGAAAAAGCGCTGCCGTCTGCGGCCTCCGTGCCGTGGCCGCCAGTCGTCCCCAGTGCCTCGCAGGGACCCAGTGAGGTGGCGGCTGCCCCTTGCAGAGTGGAGGTGACAGACCTGCCCAGGGTGCGCACTCGAGCTGCCCGGAGTCCGCGTTCCTAAGGAGCAACGCGCGTTTAGTGTTTTGGCCAGAGTGCAGAGCACGGTGAGGGGTCCGGGAGGCGCGTCTCCCGGGCCGCGGTCGGGTTGCCCGCGTCTTAGGCAACAGGCTGCGGGTGGGGTGGCGGGGCAGCCTCACCCATCCTCAGGCCTTGTGCCCGGCTAGGAAGCGCTGGCCCTGCGGGCATCCCGCCGCTGGCTTCCCCGAGTTCCTGCCCCGTAACTGCTGCTACCCGCAGGGTCTGCGCGCGTCCCCGCCGGGACGTTCCAACTCTATTGCAGCTCTCTGCTTTTTTACTGCTGTTTGAATTGGTCTCCTTGCACTTTCTGTTCTCACCGGCTCTGCGTCGGTTTAGATGACTTACCAAGGGTGGTGTCCAGGCCCCCCACCCTGACCGCCCTTCCCCGGCCCTCTGGCCTTTCTCTGAGCTGGACCTGCTGCTTAGGTGGGCCCAGGTGCCGGCCTGCTGTTTCCTCTATGACACCGGCGACTTTGTGCAGGACACGGCGTTCTAACCTTGGCTCCCTCCACCTCAGGGACAGCCTTCTGCCAAGCAGCCTGGATCCGTTTGGGGAAGGCAGGGTCCTCTTCAGTGTTAGGACCCTGCCCGGAGTGCCAGAGGATATGCAGTCCCACTCCGAATGCTTTGTGGCCCCCAAGGCTTGGCCTTCCGTTCTGGGAAATCCTCTTCTATCATTTATTTGAGAATTTCTTCGGCTCTGCTGCTGCTCTTCTCTGTTAGGAGCGGCAGTTAGTTCGATGAAGGACGTCTCGATTCAAGAGAGTTACCCTGGGATCTCTCTGTTCTTTATCCTCTTCCTGTGTCATTTTCATCTCATTTCTGGGAGAGGACTTCAATTTATTTTCCAGTCTTATTTAAAAGCTTTTATTTCCACAGTCGAGTTTTAATTTCAAGAGCTGCTTTGTTCTGTGCCTTCCCCGTAGCAGCTTGTTTTGTGGTTGCCTTTTTCCTTGACTCTGAGGAGAGAGAAGGATTTTTTCAGTTCTCTTTTGTTCTGTTTTTTTTTCCTTCTGTCACTGTCATCGTTTTTTAAAAGGTTGGTTTCTTGCCTTGTGTGTCAAGTACTCCTCAAATACTGTTAATTATTGTCTAAGACGAGAGGAAGCAGGCAGCAAGCTGAGTCTGTGGGGCTGGATCAGAACACAGGCGGGCTTCCCTTTGGGTGATTGGGGCCTTGTTACCTTGCGGGGCCTTGAATGCCAGGTCACAGAGATATTCCTGGTGCCTTTCAGTTTAGGGAAGACCCCTTTGGTGGGGGGATGCCCCCCATGCCAGGGGGAGCCTGGTACAGCTCTTCAGTGCATGCACCCGACTCCGTGGGCAGGTGGACCCCTCGCCCTCTGCTGTGCCCCTTGGTTTTGGGTCCAGGCCCGCTGTAGGCCTGGAGGCCTCTAGGTCCTCCTGGCGCCTCTGCCCCAGATTGCTGCCACAGCACCCGCAGTGGGTCCTCCTGGGCTGCCAGGAAGTCGTGAAGGCGCTTGCCTGCTCTCTTCCCTTGTGGGCTGTCAGCACGCTGCTAAAAGGCGTTTTAGTGGGATGAGCCGAGGTCACTTGTGTGGCCAGGTGGGGTGAGCACGGATACCAGAGCGCCTTCCCATCGCCATGCTCTTCTGCTTCCTGGCGGCCTTGGTGACAGATGCCGCCCATCCTCACGCCGCTTCTGCGTGGTGTGCAGGTGGGTGCTGTCCCGGCTGGGATGTGCGGGAAGACCCCACTGGGCAAGGCCGGCCACAGGTGTGTGGGAGCGAAGATGGTGGTCTCACTTCAGTCGGCCTCTCACCGAGTCGGTGTTAGGTGGCTGTTCGGTGTGCCAGTGTTCACGGACTGCCTTGGGTTAAGTGGTGATATGCTGTAGTTTAAATGTGACCTGGATGCATTTTAGTTGCTTGTCCTTCGAAAGTTGTGCACAGCGAAATGTGTCAGCCGTGTGTCAGGGCCTTGCTGGTGAAGTGGCCCAGGCACAGCAGCATTGCCATCACTGGGCATCTGAGAGGCATGAAGGCTCTCAGGCCCTGCCAAGGTGAATGGCCTTAAATGCTGCAGCTTTGTGAACTTTTAGTTTTGAATTAATTTTAGACCTAAAGAAAAGTTGTAGAAATAGAGAGCTTCCCCGTTCCCTTCACCCACTTGCACTAATGCTGACATCTTACATAATTAAAACTCTTGATAAAATCAGAAAGTTAACATTGCACAGTGCTGTTAACTGACTTACAGACCTTACTAAACTCTGTCAATTTTCCACTAATGTCCTGTTTCTGTTTCAAGATCTAATCCAACATCTTACTCTGTATTTAGTTGTCGCATCTCAAGTCTCCTCCGGTCTGTGATAATTCATAGCCCCAAAGTATCTCCCCCAAGATAATTTATAAATCACAAAAGGGAAAATTGTAACTTCACAGTGGAGAAACCTGGCAGATGGCACGTTAACCTCACCAGCAGTGAGACATAATGATGTCATGCACCCCGGTAAGAAACCCCGAGACTCGGCCACAGGCTGCTCCTGAGCAAACCCAGAGTCGAGAGGCCTCCACCAGCCTCCTAACTAGTGCTCCTTCAAAGTGTCCAGGTTTTCAAAGACAGGGAAAGACTGACTCTGTTTCCATTTAAAGGGTTGCCAGGTGTGGCTTACGCTCTTTGATGCTGCCCAAGTACTTGGTGCGCTAGGTGGTCGCCTAGAGAATGAGAATCAAGCCTTGTTCGGTGGCTGGGCCGGCGGGCCTGGGTGCAGGCTGCAGGGGAGTTTGCGCGAACGGTTTACCGAGAACACCCGGGAGAGCAGAGCCCCGGATCCTCAGTCAGTCCTTACCCACTCGCACTGTGGGAAGCCTGGAAGCCTCAGCGGTACGGTTCAGTACGTCACACGACGACGACAGCCTGAAGCCCGTGTAACCACGTTGGCTGTTTGGATCTGGGAAATGCAAACTTTTTCTCACTTGAAGCAAAAGTTTCTGGGGAAAAATAGGTACCATGGTTCTCAATGAGGACATCTCAGGTGAAAGCTTTAAAAGGTCTTCCCTGTACCAGAGGTAAATAAAGGTCATTATTGTGTTCTTTGACTTCACATATATACAGTGACTATAAAACCCACATAACGCGTCGTCCATTGGAAGTGCTGAGCCACTCGGAAATGCCCATTTTTGTGGGGTGTGGGGAGGCTTTGCAAATTCCCGAGTGAGTACTGAGATCACACAGCTGCGATTTGCTCTTAAAAGCTACAATCACTTTCTTAAAGACCACCTGACAGCAGGATCAAAGCAGTCTTCCCCGCCTTTCAGAGTCGTGTTAATACTTAACCCTTAGGTTTCCCGCTTCTGTCCTGTGCTGGTGGTGAAACCACTTAAAAATGAGAGCTTAGGCTAATCAGCCTCATTTTTATGCCTCTGCCGGCCTCTGCCCGTATCTGGGGCTGTGCCTGCCCTGCCCTCAGGAGAGAGGGTGTCCGTCCCCCCGGGCGGGTGCTGCGCCGGGGCCTCATGTAGACTCCTCGGCAGGGGAGAGGAAGCTGGGCTGCAGTCGGCACCCAGGGCCTCCCCGTTGCTCGAAACCTGTGGACGTTCCCGAGTCAAAATGTGGTGGAAACACTAACTTCTTGACCACAAGTAGATAGTGGCCCGAAATACAATGTAGTCACGTGGAAGCTCTTAGGAATTAACTTCTCTGCAGCTTCCACTTGTAGCCATGGTCAAATGTTTTGGACTGGCTGCCTCCACGGTGGGTGGACAGTAAGGTCACTCTGACCGAAGGAACGTCAGAGTGGGGAGGGTTCGGTGGCCACGGACAGCAGCTGCTGCCCAGACGGGTAACCCACGAGCTCCTGAGGGAGGAACATCCGGAAGGGCGGGCTTTAATGAAGCCGCTGAGCAGGCAGGTAGGGACGGGATGCGTGTGTGGAGGCCGGCTGCTGTTCCCCTCGGCCTGTTCGGAAGTCAGAGCGGGTCGGGCACTGAGCATGCAAGGGAGTGGGGCAGAGGGCCTGGGAAGGCCTGGAGGCCTGGCTGAGCCGGCGGGGGCGCTGGAAGCAGACCTGGGGTGGCCTCGGCGCCTGGGCAGAACCCCACCCCGACAAACCTTTCAGTAATAAAGATCTACATCTATGCTTAAAAAACTACTGTGGTCTCTAGTGATTTTTCCTCTTAAGGTGTAAAACCATCAAGTAATTTCAAAGTTTAACTTTCTGAAGTAGAAATGGGTTTGAATAAAACAGGCACTGAAAACTTGGTGTATGTGCTGCCGGCATTTCCTTGTTGGCATGAACTGTGTGACCCTTGGTGTGGCGGGAGCTCCGGGCGCCTTAATC